ATACATGTGCATGTGTCTTTATAGCAGCATGACTTATAATCCTTTGGTATGACTTATATCCCCAGTAATGGGATGGCTGGGTCAAATGGTATTTCTAGTTCTAGATCCTTGAGGAATTGCCACACTGTTTTCCACAATGGTTGAACTAGTCTACAGTCCCACCAACAGTGTAAAAGTGTTCCTATATCTCCACATCCTCTCCAGCACCTGTTGTTTCCTGATTTTTTAGTGATTGCCATTCTAACTGATGTGAGATGGTATCTCATTGTGGTTTTGATGTGCATTTCTCTTATGGCGAGTGATGATAAGCATTTTTTCATGTGTCTGTTGGCTGTATGAATGTCTTATTTTGAGAAGTGTCTGTTCATATCCTTTGCCCACTTTTTGATGGGGTTGTTTGTTTTTTTCTTGTAAATTTGATTGAGTTCTTTATAGGTTCTGGATATTAGCAAGACTGTGGCTTTTAACTCTTAATTCCTCACCTTTAAGCCAGTGTTTTCAGAAGACATCATGAACATGAGCTCTTCCACTGATGTAAAAGTTTCATTGTAAAAGTTTAAGTTGGGCCGGGCGCGGTGGCTCAAGCCTGTAATCCCAGCACTTTGGGAGGCCGAGACGGGCAGATCACAAGGTCAGGAGATCGAGACCATCCTGGCTAACACGGTGAAACCCCGTCTCTACTAAAAAATACAAAAAACTAGCCGGGCGAGGTGGCGGGCGCCTGTAGTCCCAGCTACTCAGGAGGCTGAGGCAGGAGAATGGCCTGAACCCGGGAGGCGGAGCTTGCAGTGAGCTGAGATCCCGCCACTGCACTCCAGCCTGGGCGACAGAGTGAGACTCCGTCTCAAAAAAAAAAAAAAAAAGTTTAAGTTGGTAAAATCAGTTTGAAAATCAAATTTTCATCATCTAGTATGGGTAAAGTCCATGCAACATATCATCCAACCATCCCACTCCTGATCATATACTCTGGGAACCTTCTTGCCTATGTGTCCAGGAGACAAGCACACTAATGTTTATAACAACTGGAGTCAACCACATATACATGAATAGAAAAGCAGCAAAATTGTAGTATAACAATAAAATATAAAGCTTCAGCAGTCTAAAAATGAATGGATGACAGCCGCCCACACCAAAGAGGGCTCCTGCACAGAATGTGCATCCTGGAAACATAAATGCAGTATGAGTTTACCGTACGGAAAGCTCAAAAACTGGCAAAATTAACTCATATTTGGTTTGGGGGTATATACACTTATTGTACAAATCTCTATAAAAATACAAAGGAATAATAATCACAAGACCCAGGATGGAGGCTCTTTCTGGGGGATGGAATTGGGCAGCAGCCCAGGGTGGTCTCACAGATTCTGTGTCTTATGCTAGTGCTGGTTGCCCAGTTAGTTACTTGATTATGACTTCTTAATTGGAACAAAGCCATAGCCAATAGTAAGGAGGCATGTGACAGAGAGTACCAGGATTTCATGAAAATGGCCTTGGCTAGAAATAGGTCATTTGATCCTTGACTCACTGGCATCTCTCTAGATTTTCTGGTATACAATGTTCAATCTAATGTGCAAGCCAATTTCATCTTGCAAAGGATTTGATGTGTTACATATTACCACACATATACCCAAATTAAACTTTTACAGAATTGGAAATACACATGGTTGGTCAAAATAAATTAAACAGGGAAATATTACATAGGAATAACCAGTGAGGGAACAGCAAATATGGCTGGAAAACACAATAGGGCTGCTTAAAAAAAAACTTTAGAAGCACATAATAGAAGTGTTATTTAGAATCTGTTTAAGGACAATAAATCTTGGGGCCACCAAGTCACTAAGTTAAAGGAAAACTCAAGCTGGGAACTGCTTAGGGCCAACCTGCCCCCCATTGTATTCAAAGTCACCCCTCTGCTCACTGAGATAAATGCATGTCTGATTGTCTCCTTTGGAGAGGAAAACCAGAAACTCAAAAGAATTGCCGTCATTTGTCTCTTATCTACCTGTGAGCTGGAAGTCCCTCCCTGCTTGGAGTTGTCCCGTCTTTGCTTTGAGTTGTCCCGTTGTTCCAGAAGAAAGCAGTGTTTATCTTGCATATGTTGATTGATGTCTCATGTCTCCCTAGAAGGTATAAGACCCAACTGTGCTCTGACCACCTTGGGCACAGTCATCAGGATTTCCTGAGGCTGTGTCATGGGTGCGTATCCTCAACCTTGGCAAAATATACTTTCTAAATTAACTGAGTCCTGTCTCAGATTTTCAGGGTTCACAAACCACAGTGGTGTCCAAATCGCTTCTATCACATCTCATTCAAAACCAGAACCAAAGATGTTAAGATTATTATATGATGCCCACCAAAAAGGTAGTTTTAGAAAAATCTTGTTCCTAGATTGGAGCTAACCATTTTGGGAAACTGCATCCAACCAAAGTTATTGGCATCATGCTAAGCTAGATATGTTGACTGAGGCATGAGAGTCACATTTTTCTACCTGAAAAGCAATCTGATTAGGCAAATATTGTTGAAGATGATATATGAATATGAAAATTGGCATTTGGAGCATTTTAAAATCACATTTGAGACACCTTAGAAAAAACAAAGACTTATTTTCAAGGCATTATTGTTGTGGCACTGAAGTCTTAGAACTATTTGATCTAGTTACTATATGTTCTCAACTGTGTTGCAACAAATTAAAGAGATCATTGTTATCAGAGGTATTTGCAATAAAAACTCAGAGATATTGTTTTATCTCCTTCCTGTCTGAAACTTTTCCCCCCTCAGCACCCAAGGCTTTGCGATGTCGCAAACTTTTAATCATTACTTTAAAAAGAGAAGCTGAAATCATTAAATAAAAGAATCAGATGAAAGAAGCTTTTGATTTACAAAATCCTGAAACAATAATTTTAATTTTGCTTTTAACATATATGCAAATTCTTTGAGAATCTTCCCTTCAAGAGGTGCAGCTTAATTCCCTCCTGGTGAGTGTGGCCTGGACTTAATGATGCATTTCTAACTGATAGAGGAATGCTGACATAACAGTTTGTGACTTGGGATGTTAAACATAAAACGCATTGTGGCTTTCCACCTTTGCTCTCTCTGTCTCTGGAATCATGAATTCTGGGGAAAGCCAGCTGCTGTGTCATTAGTAGCCCTGTGGAAAAGTCCATGTGGCTAGGAAGTGAGGGCTCCTGGGACCAGACAATAAGGAACTGAGGCCTTCTGGGACCAGACAACAAGAAACTGAGGCCTCTTCCAATAGCCATGTGAGTGAGCCATGTTTCATGTGAATCTTCAAGTCTAGTTAAGCCCTGAGATAATGCAGCCCTGGCTGACAGCTGGACTGTAACCTTGTGAGAGGCCCTGAGCCAGAAGCACTCAGGGAAACCTCTCCCGGATTCCTGACCATTGGAAACTGCGGGAGATGATAAATACTTGTTGTTGTGAGCTGCTAAATTTAAACAATTTGTTAAATAACAGTAAATAACTAATATAGCTTCATAAGAGAGGAAAAATTATTGCACTTTAATTTTCATTTGCTCTACATTTATTATTATTATTGAGAAAAGGTCTTGCTCTGTCACCTGGGCTGGAGTGCCTTGGAAGGATGACAGCTCACTGCAGCCTCAACCTCCTGGGCTCAAGTGATCTGCCCACCTTAGCCATCCCAGTACCTGGGAGTACAGGCATGCACCACTATACCTGGCTAATTTTTTGTATTTTTTGTAGAGATACGGGTTTTGCCATGTTGTTCAGGCTGATCTTGAACCCCTGGAATCAAGTGATTTGCCTCTGCCTCTGCTTCTGAAAATATTGGGATTACAGGCGTCAGCCACTGTACCTGGCTTAAATTAATTATAAGATATTAAACATTTCATTTGGTTTTAAGAGGTGAGAAGAATTTCAATGGCTAGATAAGATATATTTTATTACCATTCACAGTGATTGTTTTATTTGAATTTCAATTTCCAACTATATTCCAATTAAACACAAAAGAAAGATCCAGGCCATGCTAGGCTGATTCTATCATGGCCTCCAAAAATCACCCCCTGGTCATTCACCTTCCCCCAGTTACTCAACAAACACTAATGTCGGTGCTGCTGTGAAGGGATATTTGCACATATAATTAAGGTCCTAAATCAATTGACTTTAAGACAGGGACTATCCTGGTTTGGGCTGTCCTCATGTTGTGAGCCCTTGAAAGGACTGGGTTCTTCCTGAGCATAGAGATTCACAGTGTGAGAGGAATTCAGCATGAGTGGTTTCCTGCACTATGGGCTTTGAAAATGGAGGAGCTGTGTGGCAAAGAACAGTGGTGGGAACCAGGAATTGAGTGCAGCTCTTGCCCCTCTCCATCCTGACAGTCTGCAAGGAACAGGGACCTCAGTCCTACGACTGCCAGAAACTGAATTCTGTCACCTCTGTATAAGCTTGAAGGAGGATCTCAAAATGAAAACACAGCTTTGGGAATCCCTGAACAGAGACCCTATCCACATCATGCCGGGATTTCTAAGGAGCTGTAAACAAATAAATAGGTGTTGCTTGGCTTGGTGTGGTAGCTGATGTCTGTAATCCTAACATTTGGGGGAATGACTCAGGAGAATCACTTGCAGCCATGAGTTTGAGACTAGTCTGGGCAATTTGATGAGATCTTCCTCTCTACAAAAAAGGAAAAAAAAATTAACTAGATGGGCATGGTGACACTTGCCTGTTATCCTAGTTACTCTGGAGACTGAGGCAGGCAGATCTCTTGAGCCCAGGAGTTTGAGGTAGCAGTGAGCCATGATTGTGCAACTGCACTTCACCCTGGATGACAGAGGCAGACTCTGTCTCTAAAAATAAATGAATAAATGGGTGCTGTTTAAAGCCAGTGTTTGTGATAATTTGTTATGCAGTCGTATAAAATTCATACACAGGCTCAAAAGGTACATGGAATGAATTTATGAATTTATATACACAGTAGTTGCATAAAATAAAATCTTTCTTACCTTTTTCCAGTGTTTTTCATTTTATAATTTTCCATGATGCAATTAAATTTTAATACACTCGTATTTCATTTATTCAATCAACAAAAATTAATTTAGTGCCTATGATGAACCAAGTGTGCCCTCATATGCTCATGTGCCTTACACTCTATAAGCTTCACAAGAGTGAGATGGAGCCATTGGAGTGTTTTATGTGAAGAAATAACACACTCTGTGACAGAGCAGGAGCATCACCATCTCTGATAAATCCCTTGTTCTAAAGTTACCTTAATAAAAAAATGCCTAAATCCAAAGGGCATCAGCCTAATGTCTAAAGTCAGCACGGCCATAAACCACAAATAACATCTCCAACCAGAAACATTCCAAACTCCTCCCTGACCAGAGACATGCTAGCTTCGAGATAACGCCCCTCCGGCCGGGAAGATGTCTGCCCCAAGATAAACTCACCTCCTCCCAGAAACATTCCAACCCTGCCATAAAACTTCTCCCTCACACAGGAAGATTTCAAGCTTGTAATAAACGCCTCACCCTAAAACCAATATATATTCTTAGTCTGTAAAAGAAAGTGCTCCTGACCAAAATTGGTCAGAAGACCCTGTCATGTTTTATCTAAAGTAAACCTGTCTTTAACTGCCAAGCCATGTTTCATGTTTCTTTCCTCTTTCTTTAACTCTTACACTCTAACTCACAGTAGCAGGACCACTGTGGAGAGAACAGTCATGTAGCAGGTAATGGGACAGTGCTAGAGGTGCTATTCAGGAGTGACAGAGTGGTGGGGACTAAAGGGAGAGGAGGAATCCTGAGGAATGAGAGGGATGGAGGGAAAGACTGGAGAAGCAGGAGGTGAGGAAAAGGAGCAGAGGGAAAAAATTCAAAAGCAGCAGAATTCTTAGGTTTAAACACATTGTTTAATAGATTTTTAATACATTCATCCACAGAGACTCGAAGGGTGTTTTTTTTTTTTTGCATTTGGTCTTTAATACCTTATGTGGGACTGCCTAAAAACTAATTGCTTTTTAATCAGGTTTAAAAAAATACTAAGTGTTCCTATGAAATATGCACACCACTTAGATGTGGTTACTTTCTAAAAACAGGCAGTGCCTGAGCACTGATGAGGGGCATTGTGATTGCATTCAGTGCTTGCAACTGTGAGGTGAATGAATGTACTAGCTTCTGGTTGCAACATACAGTAACACATTGTGCTACTTTGTATTGACGAGATGTCCTGGACTCACACGGAAACTCAGGGCTATGAAATGAAGGTAATTTTAAAATACAAGCCAGAGTCACAGATATATAGTCTGAAAGAGGAAAACTTAGGAGCCTTGTGTGTCCAGTTGTAATGACAAAGTCACATTTTTTACAGATTAGCTTCCTGATAATTCAGGGGTTACCAAGATTCTGCTACTCACTGTAGCTATTAAACAAAATGGAAACTGGTCTCTAATCTCATGGGCTCAGGCACAATTTTTTCAGATTTAAACAAAAAACAACCTCTGTCTTTGCACCTCCATTCCCAGGACAAGCTCACTCTCTGGAACCAAGCTCCCTGGGGTGAGTTTTCTTCTAGAAGAGTCCTGGGGGACAGGTAAGGAGTGGGAGGCAGAAAGTCTAGTTCAGGGACAGGGATTCTGGGATGAAAAGTGAAGGGAGAGGGCCTGGGCACATGCCGAAGGTTTCTGCCTGGTTTCTCAGACAACTCCCGGGCCAACAAACCGGGAAACATTGAGATAGAGCGCTTGATACAAAAGAAGCAGGGTAAGAGCAAAGTTCCAGGGCCCTGGAGCTTGGCTCTCTGGGTTTCAGGTCCCGACGGCGGTGTCTGGGGTGGTGAGGCTCAGCCTTGGGGATTGCCCAATTCCCCAGCGTCTCTCTTCTCCCTCTCCCAACCTGTCAGGTCCTTTTTCCCGGATACTGATGACACGGCGCCAGTGCTCACTCCCATTGGGTGTCGGGTTTCGAGAGCAGCCAATCAGCGTCGCCACGGTTCCCGGTTTTAAAGATCCCGCGGACACACCCCGACTCAGAGTCTCCACAGACGCCAAGGATGGGATCTTGGCGCCCCGAACCCTCCTCCTGCTGCTCTCGGGGGCGCTGGCCCTGACCGAGACCTGGGCAGGTGAGTGCGAGGTCGGAAGGGAAACGGCCTTTGCGGGGAGGAGCGAGGGGCCCGCCCGGCGGGGTGCAGGACTCGGGGAGCCGCGCCGGGGGGAGGGTCGGGCGGGTCTCACCTCCTCGCGCACAGGCTCCCACTCCATGAGGTATTTCGGCACCTCAGTGTCCCGGCCCGGCCGCGGGGAGCCCCACTTCATCTACGTGGCCTACGTGGACGACACGCAGTTCCTGCGATTCGACAGCGACGCGGCGATTCCGAGGATGGAGCCGCTGCGCCGTGGGTGGAGCCGGAGTATTGGGAGCGGGAGACACGAGGCGCCAAGACCCACGCAGAGAATTTCCAAGTGAACCTGCGGACCCTGCTCCGCCACTACAACCAGAGCGAGGCCGGTGAGTGACCCCGGCGCGGGGCGCAGGTCACGACCCCTCTCCATCCCCAACGGATGGCCCGGGTCGTCCCCGAGTCTCCAGGTCCGAGATCCACCCCGAGGCTGCGGGACCGGCCCAGATCCTCGACCCAGGAGAGCCCCAGGCGCCTTCACCCGGTTTCTTTTTCGGTTTGGGCCCAAATCCCTGTGGGTTGGTCGGGTCGGGGCGGGGCGGGGCTGACCGCGGGGGCAGGGCCAGGGCCTCACACCTTCCAGGAGTTGTACGGCTGCGACCTGGGGCCAGATGGGCGCTTCCTCCGTGGGTACGACCAGTTCGCCTACGATGGCAAGGATTACCTCGCCCTGAACGAGGACCTGCGCTCCTGGACCGCAGGGGACACCACGGCTCAGATCTCCCGGCGCAAGTGGGAGGTGACCCGTGAGGCGGAGAGGGTGAGAGCCTACCTGGAGGACAGGTGCCTGGAGTGGCTCCGCAGATACCTGGAGAACAGGAAGGAGACGCTGCAGCGCGCAGGTACCGGGGGCCACGGGGCGCCTTCACCATCTCTTGTAGATCTCCCAGGCTGGCCTCCCGCCAGGAGAGGAGGAAAACGGGAACAAAGCTAGAATATCGTCCTCCCTCTGCTCCTGAGTGGGAAGAATCCTCCTAGGTTTCCGGATCCTGTACCAGAGAGTGACTCTGAGGGCCCACCTGCTCTCTGGGACAATTAAGGGATGAAGTCTCTGAGGGAATGGAGGGAAGACAATCCCTGGAATACTGATCAGCAGTCCCCTTTGACCCCTGCAGCAGCCTTGGGCACTGTGACTTTATCTCTCAGGCCTTGTTCTCTGCCTCACACTCAGTGTGTGTGGGAGTCTGATTCCAGCTCTTCTGAGTCCCTCAGCCTCCACTCAGGTCAGGACCAGAAGTCGCTGTTCCTCCCTCAGAGCCTAAAACTTTCCAAGTAATAGGAGCTTGTTCCAGGTACCTGTTTCCAGGCTGGTGTCTGAATTCTGTGCTCCCTTCCCCACCCCAGGTGTCCTGTCCATTCTCAGGATGGTCACATGGGCACTGCTGGAGTGTCCCATGAGATGTGCAAAGTGCCTGAATTTTCTGACTCTTCCCCTCAGATCCCCCAAAGACACATATGACCCACCACCCCGTCTCTGACCATGAGGCCACCCTGAGGTGCTGGGCCCTGGGCTTCCACCCTGTGGAGATCACACTGACCTGGCAGCAGGATGGGGAGGACCAAACTCAGGACACGGAGCTTGTGGAGACCAGGCCCGCAGGGGATGGAACCTTCCAGAAGTGGGGAGCTGTGGTGGTGCCTTCTGGAGAGGAGCAGAGATACATGTGCCATGTGCAGCATGAGGGATTGCTGGAGCCCCTCACCCCGAGATGGGGTAGGGAGGGGGACTGGGGGGTCATGTCTCTTCTCAGGGAAAGCAGGAGCCCTTCAGCAGGGTCAGGGCCCCTCACCTTCCCTTCCTTTCCCAGAGCAGTCTTCCCAGCCCACCATCCTCATCGCAGCCATTGTTGCTGGCCTGATTGTCCTTGGAGCTGTGGTCACTGCTGTGATGTGGAGGAAGAAAAGCTCAGGTAGGGAAGGGGAGAGGAGTGGGGCCTGAGTTTTCTTGTCCCACTGGGTGTTTCAAGCCTCAGGTAGAAGTGTGTCCTGCCTCGTTACTGGGAATTACCATCCACACACACAGGCCTACCTAGCCTGGGCCCTGTGTGCCAATACCTACTCTTTATGAAGCACCTGTGACAATGAAGGACAGAGAATCACCTTGATGATCGTGGTGATGGAGACCTGATCCCAGCAGTCACAGGTCGGGGGAAGGTCCCTGCTGAGGGCAGACCTCAGGAGGGCAGTTTGTCCAGAACCCACACCCACTTTCCTCATGTTTCCTGATCCAGCCCTGGGTCTGCAGTCACATTTCTGGAAACTTCCCTGGAGTCCAAGACTAGGGGTTTCCTCCAGGACCTCATGACCTTGCCTTCCCCCAGCCCCTCACAGGACATTTTCTTCCCCCAGGTGGAAAAGGAGGGAGCTACTCTCAGGCTGCGTGTAAGTTGGGGACTGGGATGTGGAGGAGCTCACCCACCCCCTAATTCCTCCTGTCCCACGTCTCCTGGGGGCTCTGACCAGCTGCTGTTTTTGTTCTACCCCAGGGAGCAATGGTGCCCAGGGCTCTGATGTGTCTCGCTGGGATTGTAAAGGTGAGACCCTGGGGATCTGAAGTGGGTGGGGGTGGGGCAGAGGGGAAAGGACTGGGTTATGGGGATTCTTTGTCTGGGACATTTTGAGTGTGTGGTGGGCTGTTCAGTGTCACTACTTACCATGACTGACCTGAATTTGTTCTTGACTATTGTTTTCTGTAGCCTGAGACAGCTGCTTTTTGTGGTACTAAGATGATGGGATTTCCTCATGCCTCCCCTTTGTGACTTCAAGAGCCTCTGGCATCTCTTTCTGCAAAGGCATCTGAATGTGTCTGCGTCCCTGTCAGCACAATGTGAGGAGGTGGAGAGACAGCCCAGCCCTGTGTCCACCGTGACCCTCGTATCCACGCTGACCTGCATTCCTTCCCCAATCATCTTTCCTGTTCCAGAGAGGTGGGGCTGGATGTCTGCATCTCTGTCTCAACTTCGTGGTGCACTGAGCTGCAACCTGTTACTTGGCTAGTGAAAATAAGAATCTGAATATAAATTTGTTTTCTCAAATTCTTGCCATGAGAGGTTGATGGATTAATTAAAGGAGATGATGCCTAAAATTAGAGAGAGGAATTAAAGACCTGAGAACCTTCCAGAATCCACCTGTTTTCTGTGCAGAGTCTGTTGCAGGTGGGGACTGGAGAAGGCTGTGGGGGGCTGAGTGTGGATGGGGCCTGTGCCCAGTTGGTGTTGAGTCCATCATGGGCTTTATGGGGTCAGTCCTCAGCTGGGTCATCTTCACTGCTCCATTGTCTTTGTCCCTTCAATGGAAACTTGTCCTGCAGGAGCTGTGGTCACAGAAACTCAGACATCGCCCAGGGTGGCCTCTGCACACAGGAGTCACTGTGCTATTGAGAGAAAAATTTTGAGAGCCATTCAGCTCCTGCCCTCCTAATAGTCCTCTATCCTAGATTGTATTTTCCATCTTCTCTTTAACATTTCTGTTTTATTTTTTATGACTTTTCTATTTTTATGGATACATAAGAGTTGTACATATTTGTGGGGTATGTATGATATTTTGATACAAGCATATGATGTGTAATCATCAAATCTGAGTAACTAGGATATCTGTTTCTTCAAACATTTATAATTTCTTTGTGTTGGGAACATTCTAAATCTTCTCTTCTAATTATTTTGAAATATACAATACATTATTGTTAACTATAGTTTCCCTATTATGCTACTGAATACTAGATCATATTCCTTCTATCTGACTGTTGTACCCATTAACCAACCTCTCATCAACCCCTGCCTCCCTACTGCCCTTCCCAGCCTCTGGTAACCACCATTCTATTCACTACTTTGTTGAGATCAATTTTTGTAGCTCCCACATATAGGAGGGAGTGATATTTGTCTTTCTGTGCCTGGCTTACTTTACTTAACCTAATGTCCTCCATTTCTATCCATGTTGCTGCACCCAACCTTTTTAAAGGAACCAGTTTCTGGAATTAGCGGAGAGGAGGGATCCCATAATTTTTCCTCTTAGGTATGTTTCTGGTGGAACTGCTATTCTACTCTGCTCTCCTACCCTCTCTCCCTGCCCTGGTTCCGGTAATCTCGGTGCTGGCTCCAATCCAAACTCATGAATCTATAAAGCAGAGTCTAATTTAGAGTTATATTTGTTTGTAAAATTGGATCCATAGTCTAGATTTTTTCTTTCCTGAAGAGAGAAACCTGATTAGGTGCTGCAGAGTGTGTGTGTGTGCGTGTGTGTGTGTGTGTGTGTGTGTGTGTATGTTGGGGGAGGGGGGTTGGTGTGGCGAGGGCACAAGCAGCCCTGTTGAGAAAAGCACAGGCCATCCCGAATGTCAGTGTGAGGGAACCTTGTGCTGTGGCTGTCAAAAAACAGCATTTGGCCTGAGGCTATGTTAATAAAGCTATAGTCTTTAGAATAGGGAGGTGTGCTACAGTGATCATTCATTCAACTGACCTTTGTTGTCTGACAGACATACAGCAGAGTGGTTTTGCATCTGGGGAACATAATTGAAGTAAAATAAGAAAAATCTTTGGCCTTGTGGAGCTTGTGTTCCAGTGGGAAGAGGCAGAGGATAGATACACTATGAGCAGAGTAAGGAAGAAAGATGCTAGAAGGTAGCAAGTGTCTTCGGGTAGGTGATCCAAGGTGGCTGTTATACAGTGTGGCCTTGTTGCAAAGGTGACCTTTGAGGAAAGATTTGAGGGACATGAGTTATCCGTGAGGATGTCTGGGGAAGTTCTTTCCAGACAGGGGAACCTCCAGTGGAAATGCACTATGGCAGGAAGGTGTCTGTGTGCCAAGAAGAGCAGGGAGGCCAGGAGGGCTGGACAGAGAGAAACTGAGATGAAGGCAGAACTGTGGCCAGAGCAGGTGGGCCTGGAGGGTGTGGTGAAGGATCTGATATTTGCTCTAAGTGAGATGGGAGTTAGAGGATAGTTTTGAGCAGAAGCGGGACATGGTACAACTTCTCTTTTAAAAGAATCTCTCTGGATTACTGGCAAGACGGCCGAATAGGAACAGCTCTGGGTTCCAGCTCCCAGTGAGATCGACGCAGAAGGTGGATGATTTCTACATTTCCAACTGAGGTACCTGGTTCATCTCACTGGAACTGGTTGGACAGTGGGTGCAGCCCAAGGACGGTGGGCCGAAGCAGGGTGGGACGTTGACTCACCCAGCAAGCACAAGGGGTTGGGAAACAGGAGATTCTTTTCATACCCCAGTGGTGCCTGGGATGCCAGTGAGAAAGAACTGTTCACTACCCTGGAAAGGGGGCTGAAGCCAGGGAGCCAAGGGGTCTGGTATGGTGGGTCCCACCCACACCCAGCAAACTAAGATCCATTGGCTTGAAATTCTCATGGCCAGCACAGCAGTCTGAGCTTGACCTGGGACACTCGAGCTTCGTAGGGGGAGGGGTGTCCACCATTGCTGAGGCTTGAGTAGGCGATTTTACCCTCACAGTGTAAACAAAGCCACTGGGAAGTTCAAACTGGGTGGAGCCCACCACAGCTCAGCAAGGCTGCTGTGGCCAGACTGCCTCTCCTCTCTGGGCAGTCCATCTCTGAAAACAAGGCAACAGCCCCAGTCAGGGACTTATTGATAAAACCCCCACCTCCCTGGGACAGAGCGCCTGGGGGAAGGGGCAGTTGTAGGCGCAGCTTCAGCAGACTTAAACATCCTTGCCTGGCAACTCTGAAGAGAGCAGCAGATCTCCCAGCACAGTGTTCAAGCTCTGATAAGGGACAGACTGCCTCCTCAAGTGGGTCCCTGACCACCGTGTATCCTGACTGGGAGACACCTCCCTGTAGGGGCAGACAGACATCTCATACAGGAGAGCTCTGACTGGCCTCTAGTGGGTGCCCCTCTGGGACAAAGCTGCCAGAGGGAGAAACAGGTAGAAATGTTTGCTGTTCTGCAGCCTCCGCCAGTGATGCCCAGGCAAACAGGGTCTGGAGTGGAACTCTGGCAAACTCCAGCAGACCTGCAGCAGAGGGACCTGACTGTTAGAAGGAAAACCAACAAACAGAAAGGAATAGCATCAGTGTCAACAAAAAGGACATCCACTCAGAGACCCCATCTGAAGGTCACCAACTTCAAAGACCAAAGGTAGATAAGTCCACAAAGATGGGGAGAAATCAGCGCAAAAAGGCTGAAAATTCCGAAAACCTAAACACCTCTTCTCCTCCAAAGGATCACAACTCCTTGCCAGCAAGGGAACAAAACTGGACAGAGAATGAGTTTGACGAGGTGACAGAAGTAGGCTTCAGAAGGCGGGTAATAACAAACTCCTCCAAGCTAAAGGAGCATGTTCTAACCCAATGCTAGGAAGGTGAGAACCTTGAAAAAAAGGCTAGATGAATGCTAACTAGAATAACCAGCTTAGAGAGGAACATAAATGACCTGATGGAGCTGAAAAACACAGCACGAGAACTTTCTGAAGCATACGCAAGTATGAATAGCTGAATCGATCAAGCAGAAGAACGGATATCAGAGACTGAAGATCAACTCAATGAAATAAAGCAAGAAGACAAGATTAGATAAAAAAGAGTGAAAAGAAATGAACAAAGCCTCCAAGAAATATGGGATTATGTGAAAAGACCAAATCTACATTTGATTGGTGTACCTGAAAGTGATGGGGAGAATGGAACCAAGGTTGAAAACACTCTTCAGGATATTATCCAGGAGAACTTCCCCAACCTAGCAAGACAGGTCATCATTCAAATTCAGGAAATACAGAGAACACTACAAAGATAGTCCTCAAGAAGAGCAACTCCAAGACACATAATCGTCAGATTCACCAAGGTTGAAATGAGGGAAAAAATGTTAAGGGCAGCCAGAGAGAAGGCTCAGGTTACCCACAAAGGGAAGCCCATCAGACTAACAGTGGATGTCTCAGCAGAAACCCTACAAGCCAGAACAGAGTGGGGACTAATATTCAGCATTCTTAAAGAAAAGAATTTTCAACTCTGAATTTCATATCCAGCCAAACTAAGCTTCATAAGTGAAAGAGAAATAAAAGCCTTTACAGAAAAACAAATGCTGAGAGATTTTGTCACCACCAGGCCTCCCTTACAAGAGCTCCTGAAGAAAGCACTATGCATGGAAAGGAACAACTGGTACTAGCCACTGCAAAAACATACCAAATTGTAAAGACCATTGATGCTATGAAGAAACTGCATCAACTAATGGGCAAAATAACCAACCGACATTATAATGGCAGGATCAAATTCACACATAACAATATTAACTTTAAATGTAAACAGGCTAAATGCCCCAGTGAAAAGACATAGACTGGCAAATTGGATAGAGTCAAGACTCATTGGTGTGCTGTGTTTAGGAGACCCATCTCACGTGAGAAGACACACATATTCTCAAAATAAAGGGATGGAGGAATTTCCAAGCAAATGGAAAGCCAAAAAAAAAAAAAAAAAAAAAAAAAAAAAAAGGCAGGGGTTGCAATCCTAGTCTCTGATAAAATGGACTTTAAACCAACCAAGATCAAACAAGACAAAGAAGGGCATTACATAATGGGAAAGGGATCAATGCAACAAGAAGAGCTAACTGTCCTAAATATATATGTACCCAATACAGGAGCACCCAGATTCATAAAGCAAGTTGTAAGAGACCTACAAAGAGACTTAGACTCCCACACAATAATAGTGGGAGGCTTTAACACCCAATATTATCTGTCAGTATTAGACAGATCAACAAGACAGAAAATTAACAAGGATATCCAGGACTGGAACTCAGCTCTGGACCAAAT